AAAAAAATAAGAATAGAACTTGAAAACCATCTTTTTTTAATGTATTTCAGTACCAAAGAGCAAGCCCTGCCTCCCAAATTCCTCTCACTTCCCCATTATCCTTGAAAACATTTAATAATTCCCGTACTGAACTAATTATTTGCCTTATTAAATTCAGAACTTATGTAATAATTAACATTGTAAGTTATAGACTGTAAGTAATGTAAGAATATGTTAATAGTAAGTCTGATAATTAATTTACTGTCCAGTACTAACTTCTTCAACCCATTCTGAGACTTTGCTAACTGCACTGAACTGTAGTCCCTGTTACTTGGGAGGCTGAGGCAAGAGAACTGCTTGAATGCTTGAACCCAGCAGTTTGAGACCAGTCCAGCAACAGACAACATAGCAAGACCCTGTCTCCTCCCTTCCAAAAAAGGCAAAACATGCGAAAGTGCTGTAACTAACACAATGTGTGATATAAATGATTTCAGTGGATCCCTATAACAAGTTTGGGATAGGAGAACAAATACTACTATCCCCACAGACTATGAAACCCAGTCTCTGAGCTGCTGTGCCTAAACCACGCAGCTGATATGCAGGGCAGAGCTGGGCCTCCTAGCCCAGGTGTACTGACTTCAACTGCAGTATTCTTCCTGCTACAACCTGAGGCTGTATATAACCTATACCAGTGGTTCTCAACCTTCCTAAAGCTGCAGCCCTTTAATACAGTTCCTGTGGGTTGCGACCCACAGGTTGAGAACTGCTGACCTATACTATCAACTATAACTACCATAGTATTTTAAAAACAAAGACTTCATAAGGAGGTTGTGATGATTTAAGATAATCTATTAATTTTAGTTAAAGAGAAAATATTACTAACCTGGCTTCTAAGCTTCTTAAAAGACACCAGGACTCCACCTATTAAATGAAGATCTCAGGGACGCAGCCCAAAGCCCTTACTAAAAATGAGTTAAAATGACAGCCAGTTCATTCATGCATCTTCTAAACAAAAGTAATATGCTTAATTTAAAAGAAAAGTCTTGCCAAGCATGGTAGTTCACACTGGTAATCCCGGGACTCTGGAAGAACACTTGAGACCATGAGCTCAAGTCCAGCCTGGACAATAGAATAAGACCCCATCTCTACTAAAAAGAATAAAGAAAATCTTGAGAAAAACATAATATTCAGAAGGTAGTCAATCTAAACAGCAATAATTTATTTTTCTAAGAAATAATATATAAAGATAGTACTCACGTGACTGTTAATTAATTAATTAATTTATTTATTTATTTTTGAGACAAAGTCTCACTTTGTTGCCCTCAGTAGAGTGCTGTGGCTCACAGCAACCTCCAGCTCCTGGGTTTAGGGGAGTCTTCTGCCTCAGCCTTCTGAATAGCTGGGACCACAGGTGCCTGCCACAATGCCTGGCTATTTTTTGTTGTTATTGTTGTTGCAGTTTGGCCGGGGCTGGGTTCAAATCTGCCACCCTCAGTGTATGGGGCCGGCACCCTAATCACCACAGGTGCTACCCAATTTTTTTTTTTTTGAAACAGAGTCTCACTATGTCGCCCTCAGTAGAGTTCTGTAACATCACAGCTCACAGCAACCTCAAACACTTCAGCTTAAGCAATTCTCTTGCCTCATCCTCCCGAGAAGCTGGGACTACAAGTGCCTGCTACAACGCCCAGCTTTTTTGTTGTTGTTGTTGTTGCAGCAGTTGTCATTGTTGTTTTAGCTGGCCAGGGCTGGGCTCAAACCTGTTAGCCTCAGTGTCTGGGGCTGGCACCCTAACCACTGAGCTACGGGCGCTAAGCCTAGGGGGGTTATTAAGGTGAAATTCACATAACATAAAACAAACCATTTTAAAATGAATGATTCAGTGGCACTCAGTACATTCTCAATGTAATGCAATCACCATTTTATCTAGCTCCAAAATATTTTTCATCACCCCAGAAAGAAACCATTAAGCAGTTGATCCCATTCCATGCTCTCCCAGCCCCCATAATGATTTTTATTTTGGGGGTATGACACTGTATTTACATTAAGCACTTGTGTGGAACACAGGCTTCCTTATTAGTAGTTCTTAACCTGACTTCCAAACTTCTTAAAAGACATCAGGGCTCCACATATTAAATGACGATCTCAAGACGCAGCCCAAGCATCTATGTCCTACTGAAAATGAGTTAAAATGATGGCCAATTCATTCCATGGGACAGTGTGATCACTTAACTTCCTGGTTTTAAGTACTTAATTCTCAGTGACATTATGGTTGATTCCAATTTTTTTGACTTCTTTTTTAGATAGAGTCTCACTTTGTCACCCTGGGTGGAGTGCCGTGGCATCATAGCTCACAGCTATCTCAAACTCTTGGGCTCACCATGGCA